GCTTGAGTGATCCCGATCTTGGCCATCGTCCGGGCGTATCGAGTGTGCCATCTTGTGGTCTTTTCTATGTAACTACAGCTATCTACCGGGAGAAACTGGTTGGACCAAAGCGGTTGTTCGTGGACCAGCGGCGACGGCGCCGGAAGCATGCTCGGCCCCACGCGAATGTCGAACCAGTACTTGAGCATAAACTTGAACCGGTCTCTAGCTGTAGTTGTGGCTTGCAGGCTAGTACTTTGAAAATGTGCCGGACGCAGACAGCTCGGTGGCCGGCGAGCCTGGAATCAAGACTCGGTTCTGGCTCGGTGCTGCAGCTCTAAGTCAGCCAAAGGTCGCATCTTAGTGGGGCCAAGCAACCCAAGCCTGGCTCACGCCCGCGGTACTAGTACAAAATAATCCCGGCAGTGCATCTATTGCCCTCTCCAACCCGAGCTCCGCCGCAGTTTGGCTGTGCGGGAGTAGTCGAAAGACGTCAACGAGTGGCGCGGAGGATCAGTAGATCGATGATGGGCCTCATTGCAGAAAGAAACTACCTCACACGGGCAAATCCCGAACCGCTCACATGCCCATCGTCCCCTCGCGCACGCATTTGGCACATCCGGAAGGCTACACCCGAGTTTCGAGCGGCAAAGCTGCAAACGAATTTCAGTGTGTCAAGCTTGCGTTTCTATTATTAAGTTCGAATTCACAAAACGCATTTACAGGGACTTTTTCGTCCGATTAACTGTCGGTTATCGCACTTAAGAGGACTACGTGGCGGTCTCGTCGCAGACGAGTTGTCTGCGACGCCACATGCATCCTACAACAATTGTACAATGAAGATGATTCATTAGACATCTAGTGTCCGGCGTCGCTTGCCGGAACACGACAGCTGCTCCAGCAACATACGTCGAAGGACGATGTGCGTTGCGTCGCTTGTTCTAGCACTCGCTTCGACGCTGTCGTCGTCAAACCATCGGCGGCCAGCGTACAGTGGCTGCCTCCAATCCTGGGAGCAACCAGGGTGGTGTGCGATCGAAGTGATCGCGATTGTCGGCCCGACACGAGTGCCAACGATTCTGCAGGATTGGCTCGAGGCCATGGACCTCGACCAAGTAGACGCTCAGGTTCCGGCACGGGTACTCAACACTGTGCTCTCCTTTGGCGCAACTCATCGCAAAAGTCGTGCCGCAGCACGTAGACAAGATGCAAGCCATATATCGTACAGCGCTGTCTCGCTGTGATCGGCGACGCTCATAGCTACCCACTGCTTCCTGACATTACTGATTTCGTATTTGACGACATTCAACTGGAGCCGAACCACTGCGTAAGACCTTCGTCGACTTCTTGAGCGGTAGCGGAACGACCTTGCTAGCGATATCCAAAACACATCCAGGTCAGCGCTGTGTCGATGCAACTGCCTCCGTCTCGTGGTCCAGCACCATCTTGGAGACATATCCTATCAAAAGGTGCTGTCAAGTCTCGAGGACGTTCTGGCCGCCGTCTACACGTTTTTGCACAAGTCCAAGACGCTCCCGCATGTGCCTGCTGCGCTCGCTCGCGCCATGAAGTTCCGTGGCGCGCTCGCAAGTAAAATGGGGCGGTGTTCCGGTCGGGACCTGCGGACTTTTCAGTCGACCACCGCCACCCGCCGTCCCAAATACATAGCCTCTACGCACTAGAATTGGCTTCAATCGTCTTGCAAGTAGCTCAAATGTGTAAAATACTGAGGCGTCGAGGAACACCGTATTGACAGCATGGCTACAAGATTGGTGGGACCGCAGGAAGGAATTTGACGTCGTTGATTGCCCAAGTACGTTCGTTGCGAGCACCTTGAAGTAGTATGGTCATCAACAGACTATTTGTTGTTGTTGTGACTCGTCACTGGTCCGCGACCGCTCTCAACCCAAGCAGCACCAGAATGCACTCTCCTTGAAGGTATTGTTGCAGAGCAGATTGAACGCCGGCCAGGGCTTCGATTCCGTGGTCTTCTGGTTGTCGTTGGCAACCCTCTGCTCACGTGAAGGCAGGCGCCGGCGTTCAGCCTGAAATAGCATGGTCGTTGCACTGGCGGGTTCACCGCCGCTATCTTTAGGTTGCCGCTCGCTTCTCCAACTGCTCATTCTACAACTTGCCTTAGCCATGGCCGACGACGCCTTGCCCGCCTCGGAGCTTCGCACCCGCTACGGCCGCGGCGGTACGGTCCGCGACTCGGAACTCAGCGCCGGACAGCTGCGCTCGCGCTACGCGATCGAAAAGAACAGTACGCTCTCCACTCATGATCAAAGCTTATTCAGGAATGCGTAGCTTTTAAAGACCACCCGTCGTCCAACACGAACGCCCTGGTCGCTGGCGGCGCCGTCGCACTCCTCCTCCTACTGGCCGCCGCCGCCTTTTTCCTCACGAGATAAAACGAGACACAGATCTGTCTCGTCTCTCAATAAACGCAACGTCATTTTACTCTTGTTGTCTT